TGACATGTTTATGACAGTGTCATGTCAGTGTTTATGACAGTGTCATGTCAGTGTTTATGACATGTTTATGACAGTGTTTATGACATGTTTATGACAGTGTCATGTCAGTGTTTATGACATGTTTATGACAGTGTTTATGACAGTGTCATGTCAGTGTTTGACATGTTTATGACAGTGTCATGTCAGTGTTTATGACAGTGTCATGTCAGTGTTTATGACATGTTTATGACAGTGTTTATGACATGTTTATGACAGTGTCATGTCAGTCTTATGCACACCCCTTCAAATAAAGTGTCAGCCTGTTTTCTTCATCTCGTCTCCAGGCGTTTGGGGAGAAGTCAGCTGATTCTTCTAGTTGCATTTCAAGATTAACTGGCTCAGTCGCATAATTAATTTCAACTTTCATTCTGATATCAGGAACTGAAGGTTTGATAAGCTGAGACAGGATTTCCTCCAAACCTTCACAATAAGAACCTTTAACATCAAGTTAATTATTTCTGATTATAACAACTTACATTTTACTGTCTGAGTGTAAAAACAACTGTCTGAAAGCTGAAGCCTAATTATTTACGTTAGGAGCGGAAGCGACGTCACACTGTGTATCAGAGAGCAGTCAGCGTTCCTCGGACTGCGCATGATCAAATGGTTATCTAAAGTGGTACTGATGCTGTGTTCAGCTTCTTCTGCCTGCCCTCATGCAGGGTTCCTCCAGGCAGAGCTGCTCTGCAGAAGCGCCTTCCACGTTATCCAGTCTGAGTGAAAGTTAGCTGAGTTATAAAAATGAAGAGGTGCACAACCTGACACCGCACAACGCACGTTTGGCGCGCCCCATCGCATGCGTCAACGATAAACCTAGCTTAACTATGCAGTCGACATGACACAAGATTAGATTTAAGCATTTAAAATGGACATATCATGTGTTTAAATCCTTCATTTTCCCATTTAAGTCACTCAGTTGTTGGCCAGAGGTCCGTCTGAGAGCAACATGTTTTGCTGTCTTTTTAAATGCCAATGAGGCGATGAGAGCGTCCATTGCTTTCATTGCAAACGACGCAATGGAGCGCAAAGAAATAAAAATGCTGGAATCGGAAAATTGGTTAGCCGGAGGTGCATGACCTCGGTCAGCAGTTCTCAAGCAAATAAGTAGTTCAAGAATTAGTTCTGCACTCCAAGAACACAACAAATAAGTTCATTTTACACGATACGTCCCCTTTAAACCAGCTGAACAGATCACCAATGACTGAGTTATTACTTTAAATTAATCATGCTTAATTTTTATCTATTGCTTTGGACTCCAGAATTGAAACAGAGAGATTTGGGGCATAAAAAACTGCCTTGAATTTAATTTTATTAATTAACGTCTAAATATTATATTCACTTACAGGTTTTCTTTGCTGATCCCAGTATGAACATGTGTAAAAGCCCAGATTCGGATTCGGCACCGACAGTATGCACTAAACAGAACCAGATCTCATTACCCAGTGCAGACTTATGGCAGCTGCTGGGAGGGCGGCACCAGCAGATCGACCCGGTCCAGAAAGTAAGCCGAATTAAACAGCAGCGCTTGGGGATAAAAACTCACTCACGTCTGCCCTTAATTTGGGATGCTGCCTGAAAAACGACTTCAAAGTGTATAATCAGGAATAATTCAAATGGAGTTTTGCGTCCGAACTTTAAAGCAGAAAACAGGGAAAGGCTGCGGGAGCTGCTGCGTCCCACATGGACACAAACCCGCACAAGTTGGATCTTCAGACCGCAGCAGCAGCAGCTTTCTGCGGTTCTTCGCCGTCCCATCCCGGGCCTCACCTCTTCCTCGTCCCGGTCCCGGTGACGGCTCTGCTGCTGGAGGCTCTTCAGGAAGCCGTTCCGCTCCGGTTTCAGCCCGTTCCTTGCATGCAGACACCCTTCCCCGTTGCTGGCAGGTTTGGACGCGGGGCTCTCGGTCATCGCTGGGAAAACGGCCGTGGAGCCTCGGCGGTAACTGGCATGTATGCCCGGCCGTCCGGCTGCGGTGCAAAGCGGTGACAGTATCCGAAGCTGGGCACGTTAACGAACACACCCCCACACACACTCCAAGCTCTCTCACATAACGCGTGAACAGCCCACTCACACACACAAACACACACCGATGAACCTGCAGATACAACCGCCTGATACCGGAAATCAACGCCCCGTTAACCAACACAACAGCGTCTGATGAAGAAGGCGTGGCCAAACATATACAGGGGGCGTGGTCTAATCTGATTCAGAGAAAACCAAAACAGTCCAGCATCACTAAGCTATGGAAGCCCTGAGCTGCCAGAAACAGGAAATTAGTTTAAGAGCAGTTTCTCGTTAAAACAACAAAGTTTCTCATTATAACGAGATATATAAAACTTTTTATAGCAAGATTCTTATTTTATTAAAACCAAAATATGTTCTTATGATTGCAACAGTCAAACGGTCCCACAGGATGTTGCAGTGCCACAAGTAAAAACTACGTGTGCAAGTTGTGATAAAAGCACTTAGCCTATCAGTGAAGCTATCAAGCCCAAAATAGCCTCTGAATGCTAACATGTAGCAGCAGCACAGACGTCCGGTAGGCATTCAGATCCTCCAATTATAACAGCAGGGTGTGTGTGGTGGGGGCAAATAGAGGAGTGCACCCCCACAAGATGCCACCCTGGGCAGTTGCCCATGTGGCCCATATCAGAAACCACCACTGATCATATCTGTATCTCCAAAGACTCGACAACAGGCAGCAGAGCTGCTGGACAGGGAGCTGGTTTCAGTCATTAAAAATCACTGTTCGACTCAATAAAATACAATAAAATGGTCTCAATGTGCTTTACAATGCAGTGTAAAGTGTGGAACAACTTTTCCATCGTAGCTGACTAGAGAGAAATCCAAAAGCTGGATGAGTTTAAATATCTGAGTGTCCCACATTAAAGTGTCTAAAACCATTAAGGCCAACCCAAACTGTCTTCATCTCATCAGATCAGGTTTATGTGGGAAAACTGCTCAGTTGTAGCTGCATGTTGTGATTCTGTCTGTTTGGAGCAAAGCAGCTCCATCTGATTTAAAGCTGCTCTGCGAACAATCACTGAAAGTTTTACACCAATGAAGCGGCACCAACACAAAATACTTTAGAAATACAATCTTTTTGCTATTTTTTAAAAATATACTTGTAAATATATCAACAGTCTCGTCCCAGAATTAGTGAGCAAATGATTTTAAAATCCAGAAGCACAGGAGTCGTAACGAGAGATAATGGAAACTGAAAAAAACAAAACATCATTTGGTGAAGGTGGCTTCTCATTCAGAGGCCCTCATACCTGGAACAGTTCACCGTCTGGAACAGTTCCTGATAGTGAACTGTTCAGACTGTGAACTGTTCAGACGGTGAACTGTTCAGACTGTGAACTGTTCAGACGGTGAACTGTTCAGACGGTGAACTGTTCAGACGGTGAACTGTTCAGATTGTGAACACCACCCATGTTTCCTGTTCCCCGTCGGATCCTTGTCTAATGTCGAGTCTTTGTTGTGTATTGTCGTGTGTCATCCCAGAGCTACCATTGTGTCTTAGTTCCTATTGTCATTGTTCACTATGCTGCCTGGATTTCTGTTCTCGTTGGTGATCTTCATTAAAACTATCATCATTTCACTACAACCTGGATCCAACTGCATCCATCCTCACCATCAAACCTCCATTTCATGACAGTTTATAACTGTGACATTATAAATGCATAACATTGTGAATTTATGACTTTGAAAAATTAATATCCATGTATTTTCCTCAATAATAGGCTAAATAAACCAAAACATTTATTTAATTAGTTTTTCGGCTGTTTAATTTAGCAAACGTTACCCTGTAGAAACCAGAGTTAACCTCTGGTTTGGTCCTCTAGACTCTGGTTGGCTGC